ACATGATAAAGGACGCTGATGACATGTTCGACATTGATAATATCACCGGGACGATTTACGTCACGAGTAAATTTAAATTTTGAATTAAATGTCATTTTAGTTAAGTTAGTGTTCACAATGAAAAGTAACGATAGGAGTGAGGGGGGGGGGGGTAGGATAGGATAGATGAATTATTTGTTATTTCTTATTTTTAATGCTATACATGTTTAGGCCCTTTAAACCTCGAGAAAAGGGTTAGTCTTAACGTTGAGGTTTTCGCCTATGATAAAGGTAGGCCATGGAAATATTCTAGCGCTATTGTTGACATTCGATTGAATCATACGATCAACCAATATCCCCCTGTATTCGATCACAATTATTATGGTACTAGCTGCTTCGAAGACATTCGTACCGGTGCGATCATCATACGGGTTTTCCCTATCTATTGATACATTTATTTTTGTAGAGAGAAAAAATATCAGATCCCTGCATGCAACTACCAAATCCCGATCTGGGCATAAAGATAAATATAATTTTTAAGATCTGAAAATAGTCTGGACCATATATAAAATTTTAAAAAAGCCTTGACCATAATTTATATTTTTTAAAAACAAATTCAAATTATCAAGAAACTAATTTCTTTTTCTAAAAAATATTATTTTTTGTATCGCTAGGTTTGTTAAATGGCTCGATTTAGCTAATTTTAAATTAAGATTTTAGAGAAAATAATAATACGTAAGTCCCGAATAGATATCATCTAAACTTTTTTGCCATCAATGAGCAAAAATCTTTTTTAGGTTGCATAATTTGCTATGACTAAAATATTAGTTTAGCCGTTTTTAAAAAATTAAGACATTTAACTACATTACGTATCGCGAAGTTATTACGATTACTTTTCAAATATTTATAAAATGCAACTGAGATTAGTAAAAGATCTCTAATCCTAATTAATTTTCTTTTATTTGGAGTTTTTAAAGCTAGCTTTCAAATTTAGATTGGAAAACCAATTTTTTTAAATGTGACGTAAATTAATCTATGTTACAATGTTATATTTAATGAATCGTATTCATTAAAACTGGCGTAGCCATAATTTCAGGGGGTTAGGGAGAGTGTTCAGTATTGGATTTTTTTTTGGCCGTTGATCACTCTCGATTCCTTCGGACTTCAGTCAGGTTATGCTTATGAAAATAATTAGAATTTTATAACATCTCCGTTAAAGTTAGTTGAATAATTGGAAAACACTAATTCTAAAATATTAGTTTCTATGACTTTAGCCATTATAGTAGTAATATAAAAGCGACTGAAAGTACTTATTCTGAACATTTTATTAATGTATAGTGCTTTCTTGTATAGTAATTTGCTTTGTACACAGTTTAGAAAATTTTAGCAATACAAGAAAAAGTTGCTAAAACCCATATTATACCAGAAATGATATAATAGAATTAAATATCTGGTTTGCTCTAATTTTTTCTGCCATATAAGTATATACATATATATATTAATTCATCAATTAATTTACGAACGAAAAGAAATTTAAACCAAGTTATAAACTAAATGAAAATTATGATGTCAAACTTTAAGCATGAATTGAGCAAAGCTTTAGGAAATAAATTTTGAAACTTATATAGTAAATTTTAGTGCTTCCACCCAGTTGGTACAAAGTTTCAACAACACATTATTGGCAAAACAATAACAAATTTAGAACAAACGTTATTAGTGTATTTGGTTAGCGTTCAACTTTTCGATTTTATGCCATTTTTTTATGCGAAGTGCCAAAATTTTATTAAAGAAATTAAATGTGTCTATAATATTGTTTATTGGCATATTTAATTTTTAGAAATTTTTAACCTACCCTGAAAAAGAAATTTCTGAGATAATTTCTTAGAAATAGAAAATTTAGGAGAAGAGTATCACTAAAACACAAATTTTTGTTTGGCCATGTCATATGAGAGCCTATGTTTATACTTGATAAAAACCAATATAATATTTGTAAATAATATCTAAAAATAATTAAATACCATGATGTAAAATGAAAATAAATATTTATTATAACGTTTTCGATAAAATATTATATTAATATATCAGGTTTTAAAGGAAAAATAAAAATAAAATAAAAATATAAAATTATGAATTAAATAAATATTTTAACATAGTATAATGATGATATATATTTCGATAAGTGGGTAGCTATTGAGCCATTTATAGATTATAAATAATGTTTTTGAAAATATCTCAATTCAATGAATGCTCATTCAGAAGTATAAATAGTTTATTGAAGATGGGCTAAATAACTGAATTCAATTTATAAATGTCAAATCTGGCAGGTAATGTGATTATAACTAAATAGAAATTTAAATAAATCAGATGTTGTAGCGGAAATTTCCTTGAGTTGAACCGAAATCAAATTTTTCTTCTTCCTTTGTTCGATTCTCGATGGAGCCAATATTTTTCTGAAAACCAACCTCTACAACGTGGTTAGTGTTAAAAAAAACTATAGAGATCTGGGTTAGAGGTTAATATAATATTGAAATTAATGGCTGAATAGTTACCCACTTACACCGATATTTCTTGTATTACACATATAAATATATAAATTATTTCCAGACGTTTAAAAATAACTCATAATAATGATTAAATTTTTTTTAAAATATATATAAGGTTCATGCCTTCGATCCCGATTACGAAGACGTGCCTTTGAATTGGAAATCGATCACGAATTTTAACATACGAAAGGTTAGACATCTACCTAGTTTGAGGTCGCCAAGAGGGAATATAACTGGCCAAAAATTTATAAAAAATAGTAGTATTTTTGGGCGTAAAAATACTTTGAACAAACGCGGAATATATAACACGTATAAAAAGCCTAAAAGGGATGAGCCTTCGGGTCGCGGAAATGTGGTAGCCATCTATTATTCCATTGTAGGGGATAACGATAACGGCGTGTTCGCCATTGATTCTAAGATGGGGGACATAAAGACGATTGCTAAATTGGACGCCGAGACTAAATCTTATTATGAGCTTGTCGTTCAGGTATAAATTAAAATATAAGATAAAAAATAATCATTTCCAACAGAGTTAATAAACTTTAAGTTGCCACTTTTAAAGGTATGTTCAATTTAATTAAATCCCAGCGTCAATCTCATCAGTTGGCGCTGTGTTTTATATAATGTGCGATATAATAAATTATAATTTGGCAGATCATGAGTGACTCTTAATCATACTAAATAATTTTATGTGTCATAATTCCAGATGTATATTATTTTTTATGTACCAATTGAGTCCCTTTTATGTATGATCAACATAATATAAATTATCCCGAAATTTAAAAATAAATTTAAATACAAATATATTTTTTTAAACTTTGGTAAGTCTAAGATATTACCAAAGCGTTCTGGTGTTCTAAGAGTTTGATAGTTATATTATTTCTAATTATAACTATAAATATATATAAAAAAAAAACAAATTATCATAAGAACAAATATTAAGTATAAATATATAGTTTTTTAGGCATAAGTTAATACGATCACAAGCAGAGGATAACATTATAACGTGTAATTCAAATTTTTTTGAAGGGAATAAATGAATTACTAAGCAGACGATATCATTTTAACGTGTAAACGTTTTAAATATCCAAATTTTTGGAAATATGATTTTGTAACTCTCGATTATTGGCTTTCCAATCTTTTGACATTATGTGCTCGAATATTCTAGAATAGTCTTAGCCCTAAAGTGATAATGTTATTAAACGTAAGTGCTCTTAACAAGAAAATACCAACTTAGGACTTGTGAATTTTAATATATTTTCGTTTTAAAAAAATGGAAAGTAATTTATTTTTTTTTAAATCGATTTAGGCCTAATTTATAATAAACGGATTATTATTAATGCGTTGCGTTATTTAACGTTATCGAAATCACAGTTTATTCTTTAAAGCGATAACAATGATAAATTGAGCGTTAATATTTTTTTTAAAATAAAATTCTATTAATTGGCTTGATTTTGAGAATAACGTATAACTTGGGCATAACACACTCACTATAATTAGACCTTAGGGTACATAAATTTTTACCTATTAGGAGGGGGGACATAATACACACCTCAAATGTCTTTAACATTTTAATCGCGATTTATAAAATGAACAGCTCAATATTATATAGCTTTATAAATAAATACTATTAGGCTACCGACGAAGGCGGAAGCGGATTGAAAACCACGGTAATAGTCTACATTCAAGTCAAAGATATTAATGATAACCCACCAGAAATTATTGGTCCCGCTCAGGCCCTTGGTATTTTTTTTAACAAACCTATCTTAAGATATTAGATAAAATAAAATTACCCCAATCGCGATTGGAAAAAATTGTTTTAAGAGAAAATATATGAAATTCGATATAATACAGCCAAGCAAGGTCTGTAAAATATAATTATACAAGATGCCCACCCCGAAGTTTATTTGTATAAGAAGCAAGCTTCACTTGGCCCGTATTAATAATCAAAATAACGAATGGAAAAGTCGTTAATTGTAATTTTTTATAAAAAATGCGAAAGGTCCAGTATATATATAATATATTTTACGCGCATTCTTGATAATTTAAATTTTGTACATCAAATTTATATAACCTTAAAAAAACACGCTCACAAATCCTTTTATGTGCAAAAGGTGTTTCGGTGAACGCAAAACCGGGGGATTTGGTATATGTGGTAAAAGCGATAGATAAGGACATAAGTAACAACCCGATAGATCCTGTCACGTTGAAGGAAGGCTTACCAGCTCCTAGCTTCAGTTTTGAACCAGCCACTGGGGAGATAAAAGTTGCCTCTACATCCCTTCAGCCAGGTGGTTAATAAATGATTCTTTATTTATGAGTAACAAACTTAGTGTAGAGAGAAAAAAGGAATGAAAAGGAAGGAATAAAAATATTAACAAATTATGTCATTAATTTGCAGGAGAAGAAACTTTGACAATTGAAGCTAAAGACAAAGGAACACCACCCCTAACATCCTCTCTTTCTATCCCCATCAAAATGTTCCTTGTTGAAGCAGGTTATTAACTTTCCAATTAAGTAAAATTAATTACTTTTCGCTTTTTTTTGGAGAGACATTTGATTTTATAATTTTAAGAGAATATTTTTAAAGGAATTCCTGAAAATTTTCTTCATAGGAATATTAAAATATATATAATGTACATTGTCATTATACTAGTAGATCATTTATTTAAAAAATCTCTCTTCCTCCATCCTCCCTACCAGAAAGTCCAAATCCTGAGATCTACCAAAGTTCTGTTCCGGGAGCGTTTGCGGAAAAAAACAAAAAAAAACTTTCTCCCTTAATATGGGCCATTATAATAATAATAGTAGTCTTCCTGATTATTCTTATTGTCGTAACTTGCTACGTTTATCATAAGAAGAAGAAGGATAAAGCTGAGAAATTAGCAGCTGGAAGTACTGGGGTCGGAACAAAATCGAGTAATATTATATTTCCTTTATTTCTATAGTATTTAAACAGTATAATTCTGGTAAGCTAATTAGGACAGTCATGTAGGTTTTTTAAAATTTTTTTTGTTGAATATTATTACATAACGCAACTAATAAATTTGAGATACAATAACATATTCTAAACACTTTGCGGAGGAACTGTCTAAATAGATCTGAGATAATTCCCCTTAAATTTATTGATTGAATCTTTTAATAATTTAGAATCTATGATATCATTTTAAATATCTAGTATATCTCAAATATAAAATAGTTTTATTTTTTTTTAAAAAAAACCTTATATTTTTTTAAAAATTAAATATTGTTTTTGCACATCATCAAATTCCTATAAGCTAAAGGCTCATCCCAAACACCGTCCCTTCTTACCAAGGAGAAAATGGAAAATGAAAAAAGGGGTAAGGATGATAAAGGTAAAGATGACAAAGGAGCGGATAAGGATAAAGCTAAAACGACTACGTTGAAGGCTGTTCCTGGTCTACCACCTCCACCTGGAGGAGCCCCGATTAGACCACCCGAACCTGGTATGGATGGAAAATTACCACTAGGACCCTCTCCACCTCCTGGAAAGGGGCTTGCTGTCCCCCCACCTCCTCCAGGCACGAGGCCCGCCGACCCATCACCTGCTCTAGGGGCAAGACCTACTGGTCCACCACCTCCTCCAGGGGCAAGACCTGCTGCTCCACCCCCACCCGGAGCTATTGCCGGTAAATGTTGATTTTACAAATGAGAATGCAAATTCATGTTTTTAACTTATTGATTAATCTTTTAATTAAAAGGTTATAATACTAATAGATTAAATTAGCATTATTATATATTATTTTTCTAATTACTTAGGAGCGAGACTTTCTGGAGCGGCTCACGTTAGACCTCCGATGCCTCCTGGCACTGCACCCCCGTTGAATCCCGGAGGACCACCAAAATCTATGGATTTATCTAAACCTCCGTCCACAGCTGTTCCCGCCACGGCAAAACCACCCGTTTTTGCAGGCGCCTTACCTCCACTCAAAGTTATCATCATTTAATAAAATATATTAGGATTATAAAGATAAAGAACTTACAGCAGTAAATTGAAAGCGTAGTATGGTTCTATATGAATCCACAAGGCATGGGTAATAACAAAATTTAAATGATCTTATAACGATGGAGATTAAATTAATTGAATACGTATAAGGCAACTACAAAAGTTTAGTATTCAAAAAGAGAAAAATGGGATCATCATAAAATTGCCTGGGACTATATTAGGATGGCTAAGATAAGAAAATAGTATATATGAATTATGTATTGAAGCTCTAAAATAAAAATGAAACATTTTATATAAAACATTAAGGTTAATTAAATTGGAAAGCAAGCAATTGTTTGAGTTAATATTTCGTGGTGTTAAGAGATTATAGTAATAATAAGAAAATAGGGTTACTCACTGAATCACGGGGAAATTTTTGATATTTTTTTTATATATAATAATAAATAAATGATAATCTGAATTTAGGTGGAAATTTTTATCATAATTCATTAATTTTACAAAAAAACGGAGTATATTTAAAAATTTAAAAAAACTTGTGAAAATTTTCATAATTCTTTAATTTCACAATAAAAACAAGACATGTTCTATTAAGCTATTAAGTTATGACTTAAATCAAATACTAAATTATTAATCAATTTTTTAAGAATTAATTTTTTTTTGTGAAAAAGGTTGATATTTCAGAGAAGAAATAGTTATTTTTAGATTTATAAAATAAAAGTAAGCACTTTGGGGCATTGTTGTGTTTGAAATCTTTGAAATTGAATGACCCATAAAATTAAATATAATTTAATTGATACTCATATAAATATTGTTTTCAGTTATTATAATTTTAAAATTGTATCGCATAAATTACAAACAATAAAATAGTAAGGACTATTAAATCAAATACTAAATAATTAATCAACTTATTAGAAAAAAAAATTTTTTTTAAAAAGGTTAATATTTCAAAAAATAAATAGTTATTTTTAGATTTAAAAGTAAGCACTTGTTTAATTTGGGCATCGTTGAGTTTAAAATCGTTGAAATTGAATAACCCATAAAATTAAATATAATTTAATTGATACTCTTATATATTTAGTTATATAATTTTATAAAATTGTATCTCTCAAATTATTAAAGTACCAAATTAGACAATTTATAGCTAAATTGTTAAAATTATAATATGACTTCATTCTACCAGACCAAACAATAAAAAAATAATTTTAAATTTAAAAAAAAAATAAATAAATAATGTTAAAAATTTCCCCGTGATTCAGTGAGTTACCGAAAATAGCTATGATAACCATTTTTGAATTAAACCAAACATAAATATTTTTTTTTTGAGAAAAAGAAGTGAGGAGAATATATTTTTACTATTTTATTAAATATTATATTTTTTTTATCTTCATTATTGGAATTTATTTTTACTAATTGGGGTTTTAAAGGAAAATAGCTAAATTTCTTGGTAGAAGGTATTTTTATTACTTATATTGCAAAAAATATATTGTGGCTATAAGATCGGAGCCTATTCAAAATTAGTTAACATAATTTTATGAAGTCTTATATTTTGCTCGTCTAAACTTTCGCATGTGGGCAAATATACAGTGAAAATTATTCTAATCAACAACAATTTTTCTCTCTTTAGCTTTCATCTTTTCTGGTGGTAAGCTCCTTCAACATCTCTCTCCACTTTATGTTATTCATACAATCTCTTTTATCTAATTTATACTTCTTTATATTGGCTCTAACTTTATGGCCCCATTGAAGTTTTGGCCTTCCTCTTTTACGTTTGCCCATCACTTCCAAACTCTCAACCTTATTTCCTATGTAGTTCATAGGCCTTCTCATTGTGTGCCCATACCACATATACTGTTTGCCATTAACTTAGTCTTAATGGGCACTACCTTTAAACTACTTAGTATCTTGTACTGCGCACTTTATCCTTTCTTGTTACCCTAGCAATCATCCTCAGCATTCTCATCTCCATAGTTTGTAGACTTCTTTCGTCTGATGGTTGGCCATGTTTCTGAACTATATAGAATAGTTGGTTGTACTATGGAACTGTAAATTTTTCCCTTTAATTTGTGTGGGATTCTTTTGTCAAATAGCACTCCAGATAAAGATCTCCACTTTAACCCCACTTGATTAATTTTACTCTTTATATCTTTTTCTATTGTGCCATTTGTTTGTATAGTGGAGCCCAAATATTTGCAGCTTTCAATTGCCGATATCTGCCATTCATTTATATAAATACTCTCTGTTTCATCTCCTCCTATCACCATATACTCTACTTTTAGTCCGTGCTTTTCTAGGATATTTATCCAACTCACTAATCTTTCTTTCATTTCATCCTTGGATTCGGTAAGTATCACAATATCATCTGCCAATATCATATTCCATGGGACTGTTTGAGGTATAGACTGTGCTAATACATCTATTACTGTAATGAAGAGAAGTGGGCTGAGAGCCGACCCTTGATGAACTCCTTCGGCTATTGTGAAACCTGCTGAAATACCTGTTGTGCTACGGGCCATTGTTGTATGGCCCATATACATATCCTGTATTATTCTTTATATTTTTCGGGAACATTTGTGTGGCGTAGCCCCCACCAGATAAGTTTTCTTGGGATTCTATCGAAGGCCTTTTCTAGATTGAGAAAGACCATGTGTAGCTTTTTGTTCTTTTCCCTGTATTTTTCACTCATTTGCCTAATTGCGTGGATAGCATCAATTGTTGATCTTCCAGGCATAAAGTCAAACTGAGTCACTCCTATTTCGATTATGTCTCTTAATCTTTTTTCTATTATTTTTTCGTATAGTTTTAGACAGTGTGACATTAGTTTTATGCCCCTGTAATTTTGACAATTGTGTTAATCCCCTTTATTTTTGAAGATAGGAACTAGATAGCTCTGCCTTCATTTTTGGGGAACCTCTTCATTTCCAAGTATTTTATTGTATAGATTTGTGAGGAGATCTATTCCATCATCTAGTAATTTAAGGCTTTTTATTGGAATATCGTCTGGACCCCTAGCTTTGTTGTTCTTCATATGCTTGAGGCATGTGATTATTTCTTGTTCTGTTATAGGCTGTACAAGGTTTTGACATGGGGAGTGTTCATCTAGATGTAGTATGTGGGTAATAAAGTTGAGAAGCTCCTGAAAATATTCTTTTCATCTATTCATTATTTCTTTTTCCTTTATTAGCAATTTCCCATCTTTATTTTTGATTACTTTCGGAGCTCCGTTTATATCCCTAGAGTTCTTTTCTCGCTGTTTGGCAATCTGTATATTTTATTTTGCCCTTCTTTGGTATGTAGTTCTTCATACATGTCATCGTATGCCATAGATTTGGACCTAGCCACCGCCTTTGTAGCTATTATCTTGGATTTTTTGTAATTTGTCTTGTCATCTGAGTTTTTGGATTTGAACAATATTTTATATAGGGCTTTTTTCTCCTTTATAGTAGTTTGTACCTCTTCATTCCATCACCATAGTTCTTTGTATGATTTGTTACTTCCCTTTGTCAAGCCTAGTGTTGATTTGGCAGTGTCTATTAATCTGGATGAAAGATCTGTCCACATTTTTTCACTGACTTGTGAGGAATCTATTGTTTCAATGTTTGCATTGATTGCAAAGGCATCTGTCATTGTTTTTAATTTTCCCCATTTAATGCATGGTTCCAGTTTTATCTTGTTTTGAGTGTATTTATTTGAGATGTGTAAATCCATGACTAGTAGCTTGTGTTCCGCGGCGATATCTTCTCCTGGGTTGACTTTGCAATCTATTACATCTTTTAATCTTCTGCGAAAGATTAGCATGTAATCTATCTGTGTTTTCCTTGTAACACTTTCATATGTTATTAGATGGCTGTCTTTTTTCCTATAGTAGGTGTTGGTTAGTTAAGGCAAGGTCAAAGGCTTGCGCAAATTTGTACATGCTCTCCTTCATCATTTCTTTCTCCATATCCAAAACCACCATGATGCCTTTTGTAGCTATCTCTTGCTTTCCCCACATGCGCATTTAAGTCACCACCAATTATGACTAGGTCATCCTTAGGGATTTCCATTACAGCTTCATCAAGGATAGCTCTGAAGTCATCTTTCTCTTCTTCCTTGCAACCCGTTTAAGGAGCATATTCTGAAGGATGTGTAGTATTGATTGACCAATGCAGAGTTTTATCTTCATTAGTCTATCAGAGATCCTGTTGACTTCTACTACTGAGAATGTTAGATCTTGACTGAGGATGTTGCCGACACCGTTCCTATTGCTAACAATTCCATTATAGTACAATTTATACCCATCTTCAATCATCAATGTCTTCTGTCCTTTCCATTTCGTCTCTTGTATGCACGCTATATCAACTTTTCTCTTGTTCAACATTGATGCCAATTCTCTCGTCTTACCTTTAAGCGTCCCAATATTCAAACTTGCTAATCTTGTTTTCTTTGCTTTGACCTTTACTGTACTTTTCACAGGATGGAAGTCTACACCCTGCGCGTCGCTTGGAGGGAACACCCTAGCTTTCATATTCATATTTCCATTTGTTTCCTTCATTTTGTTTATTGGACAGGTATCCTTAGCACCCAGCTGTCCAGGCCTGTCGGTGACCGGGGTGTCATCTCTAAGCTCTAAAATTTATCTTACCATATGTCTTTACACATCAGTCATCGAAGAAAAACTTGAAAGTTTTTATGCTCCTTACCAGGATTGAACCTGCGTCTTCGTCCTTCTGTTTCTAAGCATACATCTAACCCATTAGACCACCCCGGCGATATTCTAATCCCAACTAAACTTCAAAATTTTTACTTAACTTAATTAAAAGGAAAGCGATTCCGAACGTTTGGAATATCAATGTCATTACTATTATTCTTATCTTATTTGATCTAAACGTTTCTTTTGGTGTATATGACTGATTAAGATCTTGTCCCTTTCTTCAGAAAAAATAATTTAATTTTCATAAATATTAAAACACAGTAAGTAATTGGTAGAAATTAAATACGACCAGGAGACTAAGAGAACTTTTC